CTCTAACCTTCTTTGAAAGAAAACTGCCGTCAATAGATTTGAGTTTAACAAGTCAAGGCTCTTTGGAATTTCAAGAGATGCAACTGAAATTTACTTCCAGTTCCTTTTTTTGGCTGCTGTACTGAAGTTAGTGAAGTGCTAAGTTCAGAAAAACACTGAAAGTCAGAAAAAAAAACATAATTTTTTGTGAATTTTTGTTGACGAGGCATTTTAAATTAAGAATATGTTAATTTACGAAATTGAATGTACTTTAGTAATCGGTGATTTCTTCAGAGAAGTTGTGGATCTCTTTGATTCCGTAGTCGACCTCCCACGACAGTCTAGTTTACATAATCGAAACGGACCTTGCCAAGTGCTGTAAATTCGGCAGGATTCTGCCGATATAACAACAACAACAACTTTACCTCCGAAAACGGTGTCTAGTGGTGGTCAAAATTATTTCAAACTGCCAAAAAAATATTATTGGTACAATACATAGATGAATGCATGTAGCATTCGAGGGATTAGTGAAAATTTTGTTTTTTCACAAATGACAGATTTCCGAGATTTACGTATAGAGTGGCTCACAAAAAGTTCTTATGAAAAGTTTTTTTTTTCGATTATTACCTGACAAATATATTCCAAGGAGATCGTATGTAGATTTCATGTCGATCGGTATAGACGCTTCGGAGAAAATTTTCGGACCTACTCTGGAAGCAACGATGCGAGAAAAACGTCCAGTTTTGGTAAACGTGACGGGTATATAACGGATACATAACTTAGATAATCTAAATATTGAAGCTGACGGTCTGTTATCATTTCCATTGTTGATTCGTTTGTCTGGAGTCATATTCGAAAGATATTCTAAATATTCGTATTTCTAATCAAACTTCAACTTATTTTTTTTTTTTTATTTATAATGAACTTTAGTGAACCAAATATGTACCATTTTGGTCGACCTCTATCAGTGTAAAACTTTTCTGGTTTTTCGGAGAAAAACTGCGACAAGTAATTTTCACAGGCTTTTCTTGAAGCCAACTTTATAACATTAAGGAAATTTTGCATTGACCAAAACAAATGGTAGTTCAATGGTGCAAGGTCAGCAAAGTACTTTCCAGCCAAGCTCGCCCAGTTTTTGCGACTCATGAAACATATGTTTGTGCGGTCTAGCGTTGTTCTGATGGAAGACGAAGCCCTTTCTGTTGATCAGTTCTAGCCATTTCTTTCGATTGCTTGCTTCAATCTCATTACAATAATTCCTTTCCGTATCGGATAATTCCCTTCCAATCCCACCAAACACACAGTCTGGCGACCATTTGCTGAGCTTCACCACGCTTGTACATCAAACAGAGAGCTTCTTTTGGTAGCCACTCTTGTTTAAATGGTTCAAAACGGTTTGATGATGAATGTTAAGTTCCTTATCGATGTCATGGTCCTGGTCCATCTTTTCTATAATTTCATTGACTTATTCAACAATAAGTTAACCAGAGTGAGGAATACGAAGGCTTTTTTAACTACCCAATATATTGAGATTTTCCTCCCAAGATATAACTTCTCTTACTCGTTATTTAGTGGTATAATTTTCCGATTAAAACAAAAAAAAAAAATAAAATAAACAATCAGATTGGATTGAATATATACCAGAATATATGGTTCATTGAAAAGAAATAAATAACTGATTGGTTACGTCAACAATTTCTTATTGCAGATGATTCGAAATCATCTAGTTCAACTAGACAGTAGGCCCATAGATACCTCACGAAAATTCGTATACAAGATTCAAAGATCTGTTATTACCTCTGCGTGTCCTTAAACCAATGTTTAAATTATTGCAAATTACACTCGCACATGGTCAAAAAAATTTAACTTGTGGGCAAATAGAGTTCAGCTGCAAGGCCAGATTTTCGGGCTAAATTGAAAAGGTGTCGATTGTAGAGCAGACAATTTTTTCAAAATTCCACCTCAATGGAGGTTTTTTTTCAATTAAAAATTTCTTATATTTAATATATTTAATATATTATATTTTGAAAAGTACTTTACCCTTTTGAACATTTTAACGTCGTATATAAAAGTATGTAGGTTCAATTTAACCCAATAAATTCGATAAGCCAGCTTTTTGACACTTCGTAATAAACAGGTTTGCATTTTTAGAACGTGAAATAGCAGTGTCATTTATTAAACAGCAGTCAACTTGCAACCAACCAAACCCACACACATGTATATACATTTACATATTTGTGTAAGGATATTAGCATGTTTGTAACATATTTGTATTGACTGTTTCGAAATCATATTCATTGCACCATCGCTTGTCCTTAGTCAGTCAAATCATGGATAGATAAGCAATTTATCATAATTCGAGTGCCTAACTGTCATGCTGTCAATCGACAGTATTTATTTTGTTTCCCTTTGTTTTTGTTCTGCTTTTTGTTTGTTTTGTACGTTTTTTATGCCTTTATTATTTGTTCGAATATCGCTGATAACCTGTTATCAAACAGCTAATGTGTCTCTAAATAGGCGCTCTGTGGCAGATATTGGATACAATTTTCAATATTTGACACGCCACAAAGAACCCGAAGCGCTCGAATGGATAACGGCACACAGATACACATAGTTATACATATGTATGCGTAAAAGTCAGGGTATATTGTGTGATTATTCACTTGAGTTTACAAAAATCTAATTTATTTTTTTGCATATGCATACACATGCTATATATATATATGATCATATCTATATTAGAAAATATTCCCCGGTATTTTTTAACTTGGTGTAATCGGCTCCCAAGAAGAATACGTGTCCGAACCCTCGGAAATCCTCACATACTTTGACTTTATACCAGATCATTTGGATCATAGAGTCGCCAAATCCAACTCTAGCGGCACCTTCTCTACTCGTTTAACGGCGAAGGTGTTGTAGGTGGGAAGAAGCCGACAGTACGCTTCCTTACTCCAGCCTCAGATTTCCTGACTAAAAACCAATCCCTCAACAAAAGAAAAAACAAAAAAAAAAAAAAGAGTTCATATCGAAGATGGTTCTATACTCTACTCTATTCTAATAATCAAGAAATTCTTCAATTTTCCCTTTCTCGGATCTGGGATGGATTTTTTCTGATTGAAATATATAAATAATAATAATAATATCCAACGATTACCCTCCTCCCGCCCAACCGACGCGAGGGGCGTAATCCGCGAACGAGCGGTGATAGCCGGGTCATAAAAGGCAAGAGAGTTTTAAGCGTTGCGATCTTAAGCTGCTCAGCTGCAGAAACAAAAATTTCAACAGCCAAAATAAAGAACTAAAATTTAAGCTAATAATTCTTAAATGTTACTTATTAATAGTAGATAAAATCATTTTTTTAATGGTAAAGGGTGAGTCTGCTAGATCAAATGTGCTGGAATGAGAATTGAAATCATGACATATGCGGCGTAATGGTTCGTTTAGCTCAAAATTTGTTCTAGAAAATTTTAAAAGTAATCTAGTAATTTGTTCCCGTGTAAATCTTTTGATTTAGAGCGGTGGGAGTGCTAAAGAGATAACTAATATAGAAAGGTTAGAACAAAAACTAAAATATATGAAATAAAAAATATGTGAATGAAATAACAAGTATTTAAATATTATATTAAGTCCCGGCATATTCCTTCCTAACTGCAATACCTAGATATGAGAAAAATACTTCGCAAAATGATCACCCATTTGAAAGAGATAAAATTCAAAAAAAAAAAAAAAAAAAAAAAAAAAAAAAAAAAAATAAAAAATGTTAAAGACTATT